TGTGTGTGTGTGTGTGTGTGCGTGCAGGTTTCAACCAGCCGGCCTGGTGGAGAGGATCCAAGCTATAGCCCAGAACGTCTCTAACATGGCCATCAGGGTGGAGCAAATACTGCAAAACAGCATGGTGCAAGGAAGAGGTACATCATTATCATCACTGTAAAATGCCCTCTTATTTTGGACACTCAGTCAGAATAGACAAAATATGCGCTCCATATACAAAGTCTTGAGTCCTGCAGTGGCCACATATTCAGTTCCAACCTAGCCCTTTCCTGCCATGCTTAAACTATCCTATCAATAAAGGCAAAATGCCTAACAGATGTGAGTGATATGAAAAGAATAGAATAGAATCTTGTTATTGTCATTGCACAGTGTACAACAGAATTTTGCAGCAATCCTCAAATGTGCATGATATGAAAAAACAGGATAAAAAGGTGCAATCAAAAGCATATATGAGGTTTATATGAATGTTTGACTCATGATTCACTTACACAGCATCTCTCATACTTCATTAAGCCTGGGGATAGTCATCATGGACTTCAATGTACTGTGGACCCAAATTACAACAAGCTATTAATAAATAAACACAGATCTTACACAAAGACATCTGATCTGACAGTACATGGAGAGATGAAAAACTGGTCAACCTGATGTACAGATCATTCAAGTAAATCATAAATGTGTTGGATTCCAGTTTTCTAATTTGACATGTAATCACTACCCTACTGTCCTATTATGTTGTACTTAAATCACAGCTGGACTCCGGCACAGCTGTCAGCTTAAACTGGAGCAAAATGAAGTTGCTTTAAAAGAGAATGGAAAAGAAAACATAACTGCAGATATACACATACACAGTTAGAGAAAGATGCACTTGTTTTTTGCAGATTTTTCTATTTGCACAAAAATCACTTCTGACACTTGGATAAAATACTAATATTTTATACAAAATGAAAACAGTATTGGAACAATGCCTGATAATTCCACTGAAACATCAGTGCAATTCATAAACCTTTAACACATTGGAGTGTTTGCTGAAATTTTTCCAGCATTTACTTATATGAAGACCAGCCCAGGATCAGTTGATAGTGATATAGTTGGCTCTGTTGTGTTCCAATGTCTTTCCCTTGCTCATTTTTAATCAAATCAGTAATAATTTTAAGCTTGTGACAGTTCTGTTCACGCACACAATTATAATCATTTCTTTCTTATTTTCCTTTCGGTTTTTTTCTCTTAAGGGTAATTGCCCAACTCTTAACATGATAATAAATCAGCATAATGTCTTCTTTTGTTTTCCCCCGCTGCATCTGCGGGAACGATGGCACACGCCATAATGAAAATGCTGCTGCTTTCTCTAATCACAGATGAATTGAAACAGCGCCGGCAGACTTTATTATCATACGGCTCAGTGGTGCTTTATTTATCTCATGGTTGGACGTGTGTGAGAGGCAGCGACAGCAAGAAAGAGAGGCGCAGAGGACATGATTAGAATTTCCTGCCCCCTCAAGCACTGACAAGGCTTTTATGTTCTGTCTTGCAAGGACAGGAGTCAAGTTTTTATCTAGTTAGCTGACCACATTTCCAATTGTCTCTGCAGTGGTTCCTATTGTAATCATATTTGTAGGCCCCTTGTGTAAGTGTGTGTGTAAGTGTGTGTGCGTTTCCAGTCAATAGAGAGAAGCCCCAGGGAAGACTTATGTGGAGAAATGTCTCTTTTTCATTACGCAAATGGAGACAGACAGAATCAGGAGAGAAGGCAAATTTGTTGGTCCAGAGAGACAGAGGGAGAGGAGGGAGTGAGGGAGGGGCTTTAAAGACAGAAATACAATGAGAAAATGAAGCTGCATTGGTTCTTTCACAGACAATATAATTTCAGTTCTCTCTGTCACTCTGGTCCCTTCCTTTCCTCACATCAGCAGCAGAGAGGCAGTTAACTAAGTCAGTGAAGCAATTAATGCAGTTGAGTGCAGCCTAAGTGAGTAGACATACTTGCTAGCCCAACCCTAGGACACTCTGCAACGGTGGGAGACGAACGGCTGTGCTGCTTCGTCCATCTCGGTGAATAGCATGCACTGCAGTAGAGCGTACAGTATATATGGGATTTATGGGCACCGACTTACACTGGAAATGTGATGACGTTAACAGAGAAGGTGAATCTCGCCATAAAATACATCCAAACGGGAAGAGATAAGTGGTTAATGTGAGTGTCACAGTCCTGAGGGGTGAGCCGGTCATTTTGTTCAAGTTAATCGATTTAAACTTCCATTTTAAATGGGGTTTGACATGCACCATATGTTGGTCAATGAGCTGATTGATAATGTTATTCTGGTTCATTGCTGTTGGAATCATTAGTTTCACTGGAGAATAGATATTCCCATTAAAAGAGATTTCAATGAACTGAGCTTGTGAGCCTGTAGACTAATGAAGCAACAGTCATTGTGGGTGGAGCAAACTCAAATATCGACTGATCGTTTATAGTTGGATTTAATAAAAGTGGATGTTGATCCTGGTGTTGTGCACGCCGTCTTCTAGAAAATCTCCAGCTGACAAAAAATAAATGGATGGTTTATAACTGAAGATAAAAAAATTCCCTCCCTGTGTTTTTTCAGCAATCAGAGATGGGACGTCAAGCCAATGTGAAGTGCCAAGAGACCCACGCTTCCCAGAGTGTCCTGGGAAAGTAGATGTAGGTGTCAATCTGTTTATTTTTATTCCATTAAAGTAGGGCTATGTGTTTTGCATTGAGATTAAATGAAAATGTTTTCATGACGTGGCAACAAAACCACTTTGATGGAGAACCTCTGCTTGTTGATTGTTTGTGTGGGTTCTTTTCTGAACAGTGGATGCGTGCCCGTTGGACGTCAGACCCTTGCTATGCCTTCTACGGCGTCGACGGTTCAGACTGCTCCTTCCTCATCTACCTGAGCGAGGTGGAGTGGTTCTGCCCCCCATTGGCCTGGAGGAACAACAGCAGCCCCCCCCCACAACATGCACAGCTGCCAAAGGCCCCCAAGAGACAGGTGAGGAGACTATAAACAAAAACACAGTGTGAGTATCACCAAACAGCAAAAGACAACAACTATAGGCATGTGAGAACGCATGTAGATCTATTTAGAATCAGACCAGGTGAGTGAAATGTGTTAGGAAGAGAAGAAAAGACGTCAAGTCTTCAGTGAGAATGGCATAAAATCTGGGTTTGATCACATAATTGCCAATCACTGAACAAATTTCTCTGCAGCTGTGAGGATGTGCAGGAATTGGCCTGACAGTCTTTACTTCACTCCAGACGGTGATTTGATGCTGCGCTGGAATATGAAAACATAACCTGTATTCAGTGGTAGCAGAGATTTTCTTTTTAGGTACTTCACTCTTAAATTATTGTTATGGTAGAAATTAGGGCAAACAAATGTAATTAATAAACACAAGTAACCTTTACTGTGTTTCACCCTGTTCAAATTTTTTCCATATAGCTCTTGTATATTCAAGAAAGTACTTTCTCGTTTAGTTTACTGTCGAATATTTGTTGAAGCCACATAAGCCACATATAGAATACCATCAGAATTGTCTTTACACTCTAGTATTTTCCCTGAATTGCTACCTTTCTATCTTCCTCTTCAATTTAAAAAATGAGTAATTAATAAAAAAGTAGTCATTAAATGTTCTGCAGTACCAATCAAAAAGTACAAAAAAGCAGGAGGATGTGGGTTGTTTTGCTCAGATGTTATAGAAGTGTCAACAGTTTGCCCTCCTGGCTATATAATAGTTAACCTTCATCCGACCGTACTTACTCTCAACCAATTAAAACAGGCCTCATCATCATCTTCTGCTAATGGAGGTTGTAGATCAGTGCAAACCTTTAATTCCTTATACACAAATGTGTATAAGGTGTGTGTTTATGGTCTGTTTATAATTTAATAGAGTTTAGAATATATATTAGAATATATTTTTATTACTTGCTTTGCTCCTCACTGTGATGACACCGTACAACCAAAACTGCACTCTGGGGCAGAGTCCATGCATAATAATGTTTTCGATTTGGATGGACGGAATAAGCAGTTTCTCAACTGCACAACCACACAGTTTAAAGTAGTTTGTATAAGAAATGTCACAAAAGTAAAGCCAAAGCATCTTGATATCCCCCCTGGTGGCTGGTTACAGAACCGCCTCCTACATGTTAGTGGATGGGACATTGACCAAACTAAAAAGGGAAAATACTATACACATCATATAGCTATTTCTCAAAGGTTGTTTTGTAAAGAAAACCCAAAAGTTAGATAGATAAACTGAACCACAAGACAACATAAAGAAAATACATAGGAATCTGTCCAACCGCTGTTGAGCCACAAATTACAACCTCGTGCTGGCATGTTTGGATCAACAAAGTCAGGAGGATACATTCTCTGAAAACATAAATGTCTGTTCAAATTCCCTCCCCTCTTTCCAATTTCCCCTTTAACTTTACTTTTACTTCTCTCCATCAACCCTTCTCCCAACCAGGCTGCATTCCGCACAGACCTCTCTGTACTTTTGGACCAGGTTGGGACAGGAAAGGAGTCCCTCAGCTTCATGAGGCGCCGAATCCGCCGCCTTGCACAGCAGTGGGCGACAGCCGCCAACCGCCTGGATGCTAAACTGGAGCAAAGATGGAGGGACCAGAAGAAGGTGAGAGAAACTGCTGAGAGATGAAGACGAAGTACCGATGGATAGATGTTAGTGGATGCATGTTTTAGTCAGGTAGCATAATAACTTTTTTTTGTCATTGCTAAATGCAAAGTGCAGCTGAGAAAAGATGTGAAACATGAAAAACAAGTTCAATCTGGAAAGAAAAAATAAATAATGAGACTCAAAATGATCTACAAATGTCTCACAGTGAAATGGGTGATTCCAGGTTAGCAGAACGCTTTTCCTTTCAAAGATAATAGTTATGGCAAAAACAGTTTTCCACTGAAGTAGTTAAGCACAAAGTGCTTTAGTCAGATGCTTCTTGAAATTTCTCAATTTGAATGATAAGATCTATTAGGAGAAAAAAGACAGAAGATGATAGGTTGTCATCCATAGCTGCAGTCTGCTTTCTTCCGCTGTAGTTGATGTGTCTTTCAATGTGTCTATCCATTTTGAAAATGATTTTTAAAGCTGTGTACGGTAAAATCTAAATCTAATCAAACATTCGGTAAACTTCATTTTGGTTGCAGTTAAAGCTGTGTGGCAAAGGCTTGGCTAATTTGTGGTTGTCACCATGTAAGTAAGAAAGGAAGGAAGGAGGAGAGGAAGAGAGGAAGAAAGAAAGAAAGGGGGAAAGAAATGAGAGGAGAAATGAAAAGGCGGAAGAGGATGCCAAGCATGAGCCAGTGCCAGAAGGAGAAGAATAAGAGAAGTGGGGAAGGATACTGTAGAATATGGATTAGGAAAGGATTGATGGAGGGAGATAGGGGAGTCATGAGGCACAGTGGAGATGAGTAAGCAACAAAGACCAGACTGGGCCAGTTTTTCTGTGGATATTGGCAATTTCATTAGAAATTGGTTATAAATAAAGGAAAATGTAAGGCTGTCGTTTAAAGGCTTACTTTTCCAAATGCCAGCTGAAGCACAATGTGATTAAAACTTCTGGAGACTTTCTGCATTACGTAACCTTCTACAACACCACAATATAGGTTTACCTGTGCAATGACTCATAATCTTTTAGTTAAGAAACAATGATAAATAAACAAGTAAATGCAAGAAGGCAGATCAAGCACACACGCTGCCTCGTCTCTCTAAAATGTTTCCCTCTGCCCCATCTCTCTTCAAAATAAGTTAACAAGGGTGGAAATAGTCCTCTGTCACTGTGATTGATGTTCTCCTTTCTTGCTGTGCACGGAGGGGATTTGTTATCCTCGATCACGGTTTGTGTGGCTGCTTGAGCAGAATATATGCCACACAACCTACTGCTGCTATCTCAACAACAGATGTCCTGGTGTTGGTAAGAGTTGGCCTCGCCTGTCAAAAGCTGTTAATCACAATAATTAGCAACGGAAGTAAAACTGTGTTTGTTTGTGTGTGTCTTGGGTTTTCTGTGTGTGTATACGACTGCTACAAGGATATCACTGCAACAAAAGCTAAGGAGAGCAGAGCCTTATTTTTTATTTCATTTGAAACAATTTCTGAGTTGAAAATTAAATCTCTGTCTCTTCCAGTCACATTTACCTTCATCCCTCAGAGGAGGATTTCATTTAAACTTTAAAATAAGCTATTTGAATTTAATTAACTCTGACCTCTGAGGGAAAAAAATCTGTCAGATGTGAATTGCCTGTTGCCCTGTGCTTGCCTATGTCTTTGACCAAATCCCCGCTTTCAATATCAACTTCAGCATTCCGCCTCAGTGTGCAGTCTTTGCAATTCCAATGAGGCTCTGTTGATTCGGTTCTGTGTCCTTGTTTATCTTTTTCTATGATTGTAAGCAGAGTTAGATGTTTACACACAGAACAAATGAATCATTCGACGAGAGGCGTGAGTTTAAAGAGAGACAGGATCGACAGAGAGAGGAAAATGAGAGAAAAAGCAAGAGGATTCTTTTCAGCTGTCAGCGGCAGACACAAGGACTGGGATCTCTGAAGTTTTTTTCCAGAGAGAGTCGATGCGAAAGAGATTTTTTACAAATATATTTGAGATGTTTGACAGACGTCGGAGAGATTTTGCGCAGTGAAGATGAAGTCTGTGTTAAATATTTTTAGAAAACTCTTATTTTGCAGCTAATCTGTCAATTTCTTCAGTAATTGAGAAATTCAGAGAGAACACAATCAACCCTTTGTACACTTGGAAACTCGTCTTTTTCTCCATCGCTGTTATCAAACTTAATCAAAGACCGCGGGTTAACCCATTCAACCGCTATAACGTAGCTATTTTAAAAACTGCTGCTCTCTCCTTTCCTCCGTATCAAGTAGACATATTCACCTAAGCTGTGGCATAATGAAAAGCTTTTTTAGAGACAGCAGTGCAGACTCAAAGACAGCGACCTTCACCTGCTCTTAACCCGTGGCAAGTGACTTTGTGTACATCTGTGCCTGCTTAGTGTGCACTGAGCTGTCAGTGTGTTTGTCAGCATGTGACAGTTCATCGACCTCTGACTGATGAGATGCAGACAGTGGAGGAGACAAATGGAATAGAAGGTGAAGTGAGGAAGCGTGTGTGTGAGTGTGTGTTTAGCTGCTTTCAGACATGGACTTAAGTCTGGATATTCTCTTGACATTCTCCGAAGGAGCTATATGTAAGAATGTAAATGTGAGAGTGAGAGGCTGTGGAGTTTGTCCTGCCGGCCCCCGTTAAGACCTCTGGATAATGCCCTCTCTCTGGGGGATTCACCATAAGGGAGTGTACATCTTGTTGGTGTTTCTAATACAAATATCTCAGGAGGAAAAAGAGTTGTAATACACGTAGAAGACACTGATGAAGATGTCAACAGAGAGTTTGGTGATAAGGGCAGACGTGCGATCTCCACAGCGGTAATTAATAAGCTACGTCCTGCATGCTGTGCCACCCCTTACCTGAACACTCCAGAGATTTCTATGTTGTTTTGAACGTGTCTGACCTGAAGAAACTCCTGCTGTGTTGTTCATATGTAAAGGACAAACTTCAGAGAAAGTCAGAGCCCTACTGTGCGGACATCCTCCAGAGTTCATGTGAAAACAGAGAAGTCAGAAGGAAAGAGGTTGGAGGAATATGGCATAGGAGGAAAGACGTGAGGGGAAATAAAGAAGGGAGAGGATTCTGTTGAGGTGGATTAGAGAGAAGGTGAAATTAAGGATAGAGTATTGATGGCTGGCAGTGCCAGCTTGTGTTGCCACCTGTGGACTTCCATCAGACAGCTGCGACCTTCACAAGGGCCACAGTGCATGAGCGAACTGGGTCACACACTCACACAAACTCACACACTCTCAACGCATTCAGGCCGCTTACAGATGCTGAGACAAGCATTAGCATTCTTGTGTAGTTAGCCTGTTAGTGATGAGTGGAGCACAGCCGCATAAGTGGTACCACATCCTTAAGAGCCACTCCACTTCAACGCCACTGCTTTTGCATGCAGATTCTTTAACTTAGACACACATCCATGTTACAGTACATAAAACATTTCTAACATCAGCACATGAAACAAGGTTTACTTTTCCACAGCCTCTCCCAGATATGTAATCAGTAAACAACTACCAGAGCAGGGAAGAAAAGGCCTTTATGTGTCGCATTAAAGTTGAACACACAAGCAGGCAGATGGGACATTGTAAAGGTGAGCGAGAGGTTTCAGCGTGAGGGTGTTGTTCTCGTACTTCTCGGTCTGTCTCCGTGGGTTTGGCGGGTCTTTGTGTTGAATCCCTATGGGACATTGACAGTGGCGAGCAGCTTCAGATCCTGTTGAGAATCTCCCCCAAGCTCACGGCGAGTGTGTGTTCATCCACGCTGAACGCTCGCAAACATCCCCAAACACACACACAGGGGTCTGACTGGGGCTCACTGATGTGTGTCTGTGAAGCTCTGAAACAATCACAATTTAACAAAATTCAATCAGCACACACGCACACACCATCTGGGAGTGCCATAAGTCCACGGCAGAAAGAGCTATGCTCTCGTGTGTGTGATCGGTTGATCCTGGGGGAGGCAGCTGGCGGTCATACAGGAGTTCATGAGGAAGAGTTAGTCTCTCTGCTCCTCACTTCCCATTGTGTGGCTTTCCCAGTCGATCGTTTTCAAGCGAGCGCACAGGCAAATGTGAGATTGAGTTGGCGTGAGACTGTGTAGCAGCGATCTGCTCGGGAAAACGCTAGTTTCTCTCCCCTCTTCACTCTAGATACCAATTCCTACTTTGTGATATAAAGGTAACTTCTCCAGCGTTGTACTGATATGTTTTAATTGAACTCCATTTTAATTGTATTACCCAACACAACAGATTTGACATTAGCTAATTGAAATGAACACTCACTGTTGGTGAGGAAGTGAAATCCCTCCTTAGCAGTTTAGATTATGGGCTCAAGTTACCACATTTTGCAAAGTGTTCATACCTCCCTGCCCATAACTTTGCAATTGTGTTCAGTCCACAGTTATTCATGTCCATGTGTTGTTGTTGCTGTTCCTTTGCCAGTATGTAAAATGTGGCTCCCTCTGTCTCCATTTTTGCAAGTTAGCCAGTGTTTATGCGATACTCCCTCACCACTGCCACCAACACTAAGTCAAGAGAGTCAGTAGTATTGGTTTCATGAATTCTCACTTTTGCCATCTGCCACCCAAACTGTAATTAAATTTCACTTATCTTTTTTTATGAAGCAGAAGTTAATAGAGCAGGCTCATTAAATCAGGGGATTTTTTTCCGGCAGCTGGAGACTCACTGGAGCTTCTCGCTGCTGCACACACACCATTGTCCAACGTTTTACACACATATTAACTGTGGGACATCAGCAGAATGAGTATTTGTACTGCACGTATAGAGCTGTATACACAACCTCTTAAAACAGTATATGTTTAATTACAATATAAAATACTCTTCGAGAGGGGTTACTGCTGTTTTGTCTCTATTTCCGTCTGACTGGATTTCAGGATCATGAAATATGTGATATGTGGGGGCAGTGTTTGTTTTGTGTCCTGTGATGACTCATAAGAGAGCACACTGCAGTAAAAGCTCTTGGAAGCTTCTCATCATTACCTCCACAGATGTGCAGGTAGAGACACAGGACGCACATACACAGACATACTACCAGAGAGAGAGAGCTACAAAGCGAGAAGTCGCCATCAAACCTTTACGGCCAATTCCACACAGTTGACCCTGAGCTCATTAGGCATGTTGCATGATGAAAGTTGCGGGCTCCGTTTGCCAGCCAAAGCAGCAGGAGGTGTTCATGCTGCGTTAGCTAATCAGGATTACTCAGCAGAGCAAGGTTTGGACATGGCCGTGTCTAATCCGCTGTGAAAAGCAACGTGTTGCTCATTTCTCGGTGGGTTGCTCTAATTATGCAGTTGCTAAGCGCACGTGTGACAGGTCTGTATAGCCTGTAAAATGCAGAGTTGTAAAATAATGCAAAACATACACTACAATAAATACCTTCACATATTTTATACTTTTCTAAAACAAAAGGGAATTTGTTTTTTTTTGGGTGTCTGGAAATACTCGCAGTTATCTTTATAGACATATGGTTCATAGGAGATGAGTTTTACAGTACAGTCCATTATGATGGCTTTCTACATGTGCATGCTATTCCATTGGGGCATGAGGGGATGAGTCATTGAGGATTTCAAAGAATTAGTTTTCAGATTCCATAATTTCTTTTTGGAAGAGTCTGAAATTCTAACGATTTTAATCCTCAAACTCATTAAAACAGTTTGAACTGCCGAAGCTTAACTTTCAAGGGGCTTAACTTTACTCACACACACCGGATACAAATAATATAACATTAATCAGATTGAATTAAATTTACTTTAAAAAATACATTACGAGCGTCAGCCAGACATGTTGCTTGTAAATCATGAAAATTTAATTGGAAAGACTATGGAAACCCACTATCCTCTATCTAGTTTGTTTAGCTCCAATTATGGGGAGTGCTGGTAATTCCCAGATGTTCATATATATCTAGGAATCTGTCGTAGGAAAATTACTATCTCTTAAGCTTTTTCTTGAATAGATTTTTTAGTTCACAGAAAGGATTTTTGCAGTCTGTATAGTTCTCATGTAGAGAGTCCATAGACATTTCAACTGCAACAGCTACAATACATTATGTCCCTGTCTTTCTCTAGATCCTGGTCCATGTAGGCTTCCTGACAGAGGAGTCTGGAGATGTTTTCAGCCCCAAGGTGCTGAAGGGGGGTCCATTGGGAGAGATGGTCCAGTGGGCTGACATCCTCACAGCTCTCCATGTCCTGGGACATAACCTGAAGATCTCTATGTCTGTCAAGGAGCTGCAGGGGTGAGTTACTGTGTGCTAACTACACCGAACAGGTTCAACTGTTTGGTGTAGATGGATTCATGGATGTTGACACTCAGCTGCTGATTTGACTTGTTAATAGGCTTTAAGTAAGTGATAAGAGATATGGTGTCAGTCATCAAATTAACTCTTTACAGCGAACCAGTTGTATCTTTAGGACATGCTCCACCCCTCTTTCAAAATTTCATGGTAATCGATTGAGTAGTTTTTGCATAATCCTGATAAATTCAGACAATATCTGATATATTCAGATAAGGAAACATATTTGCCTTGAATAGTGTGTGTTTTATTGATTTGCAGGATCAAGGTTACACGTTTGGTACCTTTCTATCATCAGCCTGCGTTATTTACAGCCCCTGATGACAGTTTTGTCAGCAAACCTGTGACCATTTACAATCCTTCCATTATCACTGTGCTCTTGTGTTTCCACATATTCTGTTTCAGTAAGAGAGCATTGTGATCTAATTTTACTTCATCCCCACTTACTGTGGAGATTATGCAGGAGGTCCCCAAGGTCCCGTTGATATATTTGTCGCCATATTGATCCCATATTGATGCACTCCACAGCTTCCTGTCAGTGTGACTGCGTTGGTGTGTCTTTTCATCCACTGCGTCAGCACACTTACATGTTTCTGCTGACGGATACAGCTGTAGAGCCAACACACACAAACACACACACACACACACACACACACACACACACTCACACTGAGGGGGGTGGATGGATGTAAATCTATCCTGTTGGGAAAGATCCCTCAGGCTTGTTCTGTCCAGGCTACGCAATATCTACTTCATGGCTTAGACTGAATAAATCACACGGGCTGTCAGGCTGAAGATGGATGGCTAATGTTGAACAGCAGAATTATGAATAGGTATGAGTGCGAGGAGACAGCTGAATCATACAGTAGATAGGCAACATCTTTGTTCAGTCTTGATTGTGCCGATAGTCTTTGTCTTTCTGCCATCACTGATCACTGCGATGACACCACCATAGCGTATAGATCAATATAATGATGTCCATTGAGACCCAGCACTGTACGCTGAATTTTACACTGAGCATTTCCTGAGACAACTCTCACAAATCATAGCTGAAGTACTGTATTGACTCGCAGCCTCTGGCAGTCATTTTGTAGACATATAACACGTCAGCAGGGACCAGGAGAGAGTTGGAAAATCGAGAGGAATTTTATACTTAAAGAATTAGTTTAGAGATGGCAGGGACTCGCACAAAGGCTTGGGTTCAGCTGTCAGATTTGAAATGGATGGCAGGATCATTTTCACTGCGTGCTTGTCACCGTAGTATCTTGGGGCCCACATTTTTAAACTGGTCCCTCTCACAAACCTGTGATGTTTTTTTCGGAGACTGTGCAGAAGAAACGCACCATCATGAAGAATTATTTTCTCCCCCTCACCAACATGAAATGGCTTTGGAGGGAAAAGGGGCCTTTAGCTTTGGATTACTCGGTGAAACAGTGCAACTTTCTTCAGACTGCATTTGGATCATGACTCAGTCCTTTTAAAAACACTTGTGTGTGAAACAGCACAACAGCTTTGTCTCCTGATGTCAACTTTCCACATGGTTTGCTGCAGGAAAGGGGAACAAGGCTGGTTATGCAATGTGTTCAATCATTACTGTTGATGTGTCACTTATATTCTTCTCATACATTTAATTTATCTTGGTTGCTATTATCAATAACACAAAAAAGCTTGAACTTAGTTTTCCTGTTACAAAGATTTGCTAACCGTAACAAAAATGATGTGTGCCTCGTTCTCTACCAATCTGTGTATGTCTTTATTATTAATATAAAGAAAACCTTATAAAACCTTATAATAGTAATTATTGTTATAATTATTGTTGTTATTAGTTTATTGTGCTTTTTCTCCAGTGACAATCAAAGCCACATTTTGGTGTTCAAAGGTCAAGGTTATTTTGACTTCACAACTCAAGAATTCACACACTTCTCATTACACTTAATACACTTCACCACACATATTACATGAGTCTGGACAGACAGGGATATCAACTGTAACTCTACTGGTTGGCTGAGGCATGGAAATGCAGGGTGCTCGTTGTAGTTTCTTGAGACTTCTCAAGTAAAAAGCTCAAAATGCTTCCAAAGGTGAGAACATTGAAAACATACCCCGCAAAAAAATATCAGTAAAAGGAAATAAAGGTGTTAAAGAAAAACTCTCCATGAAAGCAAAGCAAGCACAAAATGCTTTCCAAGAGAAGGACATTGAAAACATGATCAATAAAACTCTCAATGAAAGAAAATAAAAGATAAAAAACTTTAGAAAATAAGAAAAGCCCAAGGCCACAGATCTGTGATAGCTGTTAGGAAAGGCTATTCTATGAAATAAGTTTTAAGACAAGTTGTAAAGGCAGCAACAGATTCAACACTTTGAATGTCTCACAATTATTTCAGTGTTCCTCAAATCAGTCACACTGTAGATGCTGATGTATTGTGATTGAGATAAAAGTATTTAGTAAAAAAGGAAGTCTTCTAGTGTGATGAAGTAAAGAGGCGTACTGGCAGATAAACAATTTTTCCATTGAATCGATCTGAGTATAATTGTGTTTAAATCTTAAAAGCTTCTGATAATTGCTGTAAAATATATATTAATTATTTGTTCGTTTACACTGACACTTGTATTAGTTCGTCAATCTAGTAGTTTCTTTCTCTTTGTCTATCTCGTGTGCACTCAATCTTATCCACTTCTGTAGACATAATGTCATTGCTCCTTTGTTCCCATCATAAAGAATGTGCAACAACACAAAGACAGAAGAGATATGAAATATGTTTTACCCTAAAGACAGACAGGTGGAGAGACGGACAAAAACAGGCAGCTTCACTTTCCTCAGGGCAACAGGAACAACATAAGAACAAAACTGAACAAGAAGCGCCTAGAGTCCATCCACCTCCACAACTCCACAGCTCTCACACAGTGATGTGTGAGAGTTGTGATTGGCTGAGGAGGGAGCAGAGGGTGGCTGTAATTGGCCACTGAGGGGATGCGTCTTTGCTTGAGTTGTATAAGTGTATATAATTTACACCTTTGTTTGTATATAGTTTAAGTCAATACTGTGGTCAGGTGGCTGGACACTGATCATGAGAAAAGCATAAACAGAGCAAACAGACTCATTAATGTTCTGTGGTGAAAATAGACGAGAGCATAAAGAGTAAAACTGTAACTCGGGATTGCAACACACTGAAGTATAAATGTATATTTTGTGCACTTTCTAAATTAAAGTGATGCATGTTGACTTGTGGTCTGCAGGACATACTGACACAGGGAGTCCTACACTTATATTCACCGTTTTCTGTGGCAGTGAAGACATATCTCACTCTCAGTGCTGTCACTGCTCAGGTAAAAACGTGTGTAGGAGCCAACTGGGAAGAAAGGGGAGAACAGCAAAGTGCTGAGTTGGCATCTTTGGAGTTGGGGCAGGAGTCTTGTTATTCAAATATGCAAATAATGGCTCTATGCAGTGGATTCCTTTTTTGAAGGCTCATCTCTTTTTTCAAATTTTGGACCCATTCTTTCCTTCATTTATTCACAAAGGGGAAATTTTAATCGCACCACTTCCTTGCCCACACACACACACACACACACACACACACACACACACACACCAGTTAATTCAATAAGGATTTTTGCATCTCCCTGCCTTTGCTGAGTGTGCACTCTTCACAATGTGGGCTAACCGAGCGAGCTTGACGAGCTGAGTTCAGTGCCAATTAGATTGGAAAGGCTTCTGAGATGTATTAGTGTGAGAGGGAGAACTGACAGAGCTCAGAGTGCCATACGTCACAGTCCACAGGGTCCAGAGGACTGAAAGCTGCAGCCGTCATTGTGAAGGTGGATGAGCAGCACCTTTTTGTCCCATCCTGTCCCCACTGCAAGGAGACATAGAAAATTCAGTCAAACTGAACAGTGACAGATCCTGGAACAGGATAAGAAATAATGCAGTGTATTGGCCATAGCACACAAAGCAAACACTGAAGAGGACTGAAGAAGTAGTTATCATACCGTAAAATTAACCTGGATGTGACAATGCAGCCTATAAATGTGATACAATTGCTGCTTTCCATGGAGAAACGTGTGTGTTGGCCTACATAGAAAACAATAGGTGCATTTGTTTGGATTTGCATCTTATAACCTCGGTGTATGTTGGCTTTATAACCAAAGGCAGTAAATGTGACACAATGGGTATGTAAACAGATGTGACGAGTGAAAAACAGAATGAGAAAGACAACTCAGAACTGTACATCACAGCTTCTGTTGAAAATTAAGTGTTAAATTGAATTTTTATCATAAATATCTAAACACTGTTTCTCCACATTTGTCTTTGTCCACTGAAGGATGCAAAACTTAATTAAATAGTTAAGCAGTCCTTTATCATTGCTGTTCAGTTCATGTTGCCATTAAGTTTTCACAAGCTTGTGTTTTACTTGATTTTATATTCCTTGGAGCCACTTTGTTTTCCATGTGACTTTGCAAATCTAATTACCAATTTAAAACCCAAGCAAAGGCAGTATTTTCTGCTATAAGCTATTAGGCTAAACCAACTTTTTTCAAAAGTGACTTCTCATGGTTTTTAAATGTTCGCTCCCTTCCCACACTTTCACTTCCTTAAACTTGAGCAGTCAAGTTCACAGTCTCATCCCAACTGTAAAGGTAATGTGTCAGTTACCATGGAGATCAGACTCTGGGATAGTTGGGGTCGGAGGTGGAGTCCCAGCCAACCAATCCCTCCAGTACAGTAGATGTAGAGAATCTAAAAACGTTTGGCCTCTTCTGTTCCTGATATCTGCCGATTGATACTTGGGTACAGCAGAGATTCCCACTCATTCAAACCTTCCTCTCACTTGTAAGGCTTTGGTTTTAATTACGATGGTGTTTGGAGCACTAATGAAAGATTTCTGTTCTGTTTTTGGCATTCCTTCCTGTCAGAGCATTGTGCTCCAGCCGATTCAGAT